TAAAAAACATTCATTGTCATTACATTTCTATATTTTAGGAGTCTAAAATGTATGTGGATTTGACTTTTTACAATGAACTTAGTGTTAACAAATTTATGAATTTCAAACAATAGACGGATTTAAAACTTGTGTAGGATAAATCTCAACACATACATTTATTATGGATGTTGTTGAGATGTTTAAGTAGTTCTCGATGTTTCTGTATTTTAGCAGTATGAACTTATGTCGATGCTACTTTTAACAACAGTGTGTTGATAACATATTTATTTACGTTTATGTCCTCTTTGTAATTTGGGATTTTAGATGAATATCATTTTACCTTAAGATGTAATTCCTGTAAGAACATTAGACACATCGCGAATTCGCGAAATTAATAAACCGCTACGACGTCAACGAGGAGACGTGTGTTGGCGTGTATGGATGCCCAGGGTGGTCACACTCCCTATTGATGACGTGTCTCCTGACTCCTGTCTCGTTATGTGACTCTTTATGCACTTTTTGAATGAACTATGACTTGTAATTTTCAATTTTGACTTCTTGCCTCTTTCTCAATGAATTGCGTCAAATGCACGAACAGCATTACAATGAAGTTTCAGTCTAATTATTGGAAAATTATTTCTGTGAATAAAATAATTATCATAAATCTCACATACCTCTTTGTTTTGTTTTTTGGTCAAGTGAAGTCGGTGATAACTTTTGCCCTGTAGTTAACATATATAGAAACCATACCCCTAAGGGAACAACCTTGCCTCCAACCACGTGTAGGTAAGGTAAAATAAGGTATATTGTCGCATCCAAGGTTATCGTTTTGTGCGTGCCCGTGTGTCTGTGGTTGCTAGTAGTAGTAGTAGTAGTAGTAGTAGTAGTAGTAGTAGTAGTAGTAGTAGTAGAATAAGCCTTTAAAATCATCTCGATACACACCACGAGACCATGTTTCTTCAATGTGCACCAGCTGATATTGAGGGCGGTATTACCGGCTGACCCAGGATACCTGGACTTGTTAGTCATGCAAACTGGATTTAAGTAGCTATTGCAACTATAGTTAAATGTCGGTGAATATTATGTCCTGCATGTGTATACAGATCATGTGATTCACACTGGGGAACTAGGTACACTGAAAGAGGTATCTCAGTCTTACTTCTATGAACCTAAGACTAAACAAAGAAGTCATATATAGTAGTGTTGTTTGAATTACAAACAGTTAAGAGGAATATACACGGTTTGAATTTGAACATAACAGTCACATAGATATAACAATGACTAGACCGTATTTTCTATATTAGACACCGACCTTTCAGGGCCGGGCGTATAAAAAGGTATGACTATTTTCATCGTTACAGTACGCCCACACTGTTTGGTTTATAGCTAATGCCCCTATTCCACACAGACCACGAATCCCACGAATAGCCACGAATTGACAAATATGAGGAATCGTAGTTGAATCGTAATCAGTTCGTGAAGTTCTTAACTAGTTCGTATATAGTCGTAGTCAGTTCTTGCAATTCTTCAGCAATCGGGAATTCGTGGCAAAAGTTTTGAACTGTTCAAAATTTTGGCCACGAACTCCCGATTAAAAAAACTCGGAGTTAATTCGTAACAAATTCGTAGTGCATTCTTAGGCATCGTAACTGAGTCGTGGATACGTCAATTCGAGGCTTGACCACGAATCGGCTACGAATGTGTCACGTACGAATCCCACAAAAACACGCAGGTACGTAGCAAGTAAGAACTATCTACGAATCAGCTACGATTGTGGGCAAATTGGGGATATAAGGACTTCAGGCCATTAGCTGCTGTCGATTGTGCTACGAAATCCTCGAATCAGCAAGATGCCTAGAAAAGCTGCAGGCAAGGGCAAGCGCAAGGGGAGAGGAAAGAGAAGCAAGAGAATGAGGGGAGAGGGAGAAGAACATGGCCTTCACCAGTGTCTATCCATATAAACAGTGTCCACATCCACCAGGGCCAATAGCACCCCGGACAGGAAGCCTTTGCTGTTGAAGAATACCCTGCCTGAGTTGTGTGGATTATGAGCTTGCCATCCAAGGTCCCAAGGGCATGAGGAACATTCCACCGGTCTTGCAACTGCTGGGAAATAGCCTTCCAGTCCTCATGGGTCCTTGGCAGGATGACTTCATCCTTCAGCTCCTGTATGATGGCCTGACAGACCTCCTGCACAACCCATACCACTGTGCTGCAGCCACATCGGTAGTCATACCAGTTTCCTGTAGCCAGGCGTCTGTGGGTCATGGCTACCTTCATTCCTAGGGCTTTCAAGAATATTCACGAATTCATTTATTCGTATCTGATTCGTACGTGCAATCCCCGTATTCTTTACTGGTTCGTAACTGATTCCTAACATTCGTGCAGTATTCGTAACAGATTCTTGTAAATCGTAGTGTGAATTCTTGACAATATTCGTGCGATTCCAGCCGAATATTCGTGACTCTCTCTCACTTGTATCGTAACTGAATCGTAAAGCTTCACGAATTGAACCAGAAAATTTGCACAATTCCAAGAATCCTCACGAATTCTCAAATTCATCAATCGTGGGATTAGTGGTCTGTGTGGAATAGGGGCGTAAGGAAGCATGCATTACAAGAAAAGTAAATTACCAACCTAAATGGGAAAGGGATATCAAAGTAGATATATATCCCAACCTTTAATCTGCAGGGAAGTGCAGTAAAAGGCAGGGTACTGCAGAGGTACAGGGAAGTGCAGTCAAAGGCAGGGTACTGCAGAGTTACAGGGACATGCAATAACGGGCAGGGTACTGCAGAGCTACAGGGAAGTGCAGTAACGGGTAGGGTACTGCAGAGGTACGAGGAAGGGCAGTAACGGGTAGGGTACTGGAGAGGTACAGGGAAGTGCAGTAACGGGCAGGGTACTGCAGAGGTACGAGGAAGTGCAGTAACGGGTAGGGTACTGCAGAGGTAGAGGGACATGCAGTAACGGGCAGGGTACTGCAGAGGTACGAGGAAGTGCAGTAACGGGTAGGGTACTGCAGAGGTATAGGGAAGTGCAGTAACGGGCAGGGTACTGCAGAGGTACAGGGAAGTGCAGTAACGAGTAGGGTACTGCAGAGGTACGAGGAAGTGCAGTAACGGGTAGGGTACTGGAGAGGTACAGGGAAGTGCAGTGACGGGTAGGGTACTGCAGAGGTAAGAGGAAGTGCAGTAACGGGTAGGGTACTGCAGAGGTAGAGGGACATGCAGTAACGGGCAGGGTACTGCAGAGGTGCGAGGAAGTGCAGTAACGGGTAGGGTACTGCAGAGGTAAGAGGAAGTGCAGTAACGTGTAGGGTACTGCAGAGGTAAGGGGAAGTGCAGGAACGGGTAGGGTACTGCAGAGGTACAGGGACGTGCAGTAACGGGCAGGGTACTGGAGAGGAAAGGGAAGTGCAGTAACGGGTAGGGTACTGCAGAGGTACGAGGAAGTGCAGTCACGGGTAGGGTACTGCAGAGGTAAGAGGAAGTGCAGTAACGGGTAGGGTACTGCAGAGGTACAGGGACGTGCAGTAACGGGCAGGGTACTGCAGAGGTACAAGGAAGTGCAGTAAAAGGCAGGGTGTTGCAGGGTGCTACAGAGGTACAGGGAAGTGCAGTAAAATGCAGGGTACTGCAGAGGTATAGGGAAGTGCAGTAACGGGAAGGGTACTGCAGAGGTATAGGGAAGTGCAGTAGAAGGCAGGGTACTGCAGAAGTATAGGGAAGTGCAGTAACGAGCAGGGTAGTGCAGAGGTATAGGGAAGGGCAGTAACGGGTAGGGTACTGCAGAAATATAGGGAAGTGCAGTAAAAGGCAGGGTACTGCAGAGGTATAGGGAAGTGCAGTAACGGGCAGGGTAGTGCAGAGGTATAGGGAAGTGCAGTAACGGGTAGGGTAGTGCAGAGGTATAGGGAAGGGCAGTAACGGGTAGGGTAGTGCAGAGGTATAGGGAAGTGCAGTAACGGGTAGGGTAGTGCAGAGGTATATGGAAGTGCAGTAACGGGTAGGGTAGTGCAGAGGTATAGGGAAGGGCAGTAACGGGTAGGGTAGTGCAGAGGTATAGGGAAGTGCAGTAACGGGCAGGGTAGTGCAGAGGTATAGGGAAGTGCAGTAACGGGCAGGGTAGTGCAGAGGTATAGGGAAGTCCAGTAACGGGTAGGGTAGTGCAGAGGTATAGGGAAGGGCAGTAACGGGTAGGGTACTGCAGAGGTATAGGGAAGTGCAGTAAAAGGCAGGGTAGTGCAGAGGTATAGGGAAGTGCAGTAAAAGGCAGGGTACTGCAGAGGTATAGGGACAGGGTGTTGCACGGTGCTACAGAGGTACCGGGATGTACCATAAAACACAGGGTGGTGCAGGTAAGTGCAGTTAAAGGCAGGGTGCTGCAGGCAAGTATTTAGGCATAGTTCAGAGTTCTTCTTGCCCCTAAGTGAATACATGTATTACAAACGTTTTTATCATTTCACTTCACACAAAAATGTATGTATGTCATATAAAATCGGTAAGATTACAAAGACCACAGATGAATGTAAATGACGTGTCAGGTTTAAAATAGTGTGAGAGTCACTCAATCTCCATGCGGGACAGGGTAAGGCACATTGGTTACATCCGCATTCTCAGCCTGTTTCCCAGGTCTAATATACGCTCAGGGAGCAGTCCCAACATTGATTTACTTAGGTATCTTGAGTAAGTATATGCCATGTTGTTCACATGTGTGTTGCATGGAAGTAGGGACAATGGACGGGAACTCCCCTGCGATAACAAAAAGGTTCCATCTGATGTCATATGCGGTAAACTAGCTTGGCAACAGATCATGTTTACGTGTTAGTTCGGCGCATGCGCCGTCTTTGCTCGGGTGGATGGTCCAAGCTTGCACTGCAATAGATACCGCGGGGCACGACTGACTAGCTGCGAAAGGTCATTTAGTAAAAACAGAGTTTCTGAAATACAGCGGTGCTAAACACGGTGCTATATTACAAAGACGGTCATGAAAGCGTTTTATTGTTTTCTGAATTAACTTTAGGAAAGTTTGAGACAGAACATTTTGAGTGTAACAAACATAAACGACCAGTCAACATCACTGGAGACTTCATCACCAGATTCTGCATAGCCTTCATCAATCAAGTTATCATAACCAGAATCTGCATAGCCTTCATCAATCAAGTTATCATCACCAGATTCTAAATAGCCTTCATCAATCAAGTTATAATCACCAGATTCTAAATAGCCTTCATCAATCAAGTTATCATCACCAGATTCTGCATAGCCTTCATCAATCAAGTTATCATCACCAGATTCTGCATAGCCTTCATCAATCAAGTTATCATCACCAGATTCTGCATAGCCTTCATCAATCAAGTTATCATCACCAGATTCTGCATAGCCTTCATCAATCAAGTTATCATCACCAGATTCTGCATAGCCTTCATCAATCAAGTTATCATCACCAGATTCTGCATAGCCTTCATCAATCAAGTTATCATAACCAGATTCTGCATAGCCTTCATCAATCAAGTTATCATCACCAGATTCTACATAGACTTCATCAATCAAGTTATCATCACCAGATTCTGCATATCCTTCATCAATCAAGTTATCATCACCAGATTCTGCATATCCTTCATCAATCAAGTTATCATCACCAGATTCTGCATATCCTTCATCAATCAAGTTATCATCACCAGATTCTGCATAGCCTTCATCAATCAAGTTATCATCACCAGATTCTTCACACTGTCTGTACGGGTAGTCGGTAACTGTGGGATTTAGTAGATTCTGTCTGCTTTAAGGCCATCAAATCCATGTAGTAAAAAGAGGCCACCAAATCCATCTAGTACCAAGAGGCCATCAAATCCATGTATACATCTGTGCATAGAATAAGCACCACCCTGTATTTTTACCAATTAATTTTGTCTGAAATGAAATTCTAAACTCTTTCCCAAAAATAACCTTTATAATTTGATAGAGCAAGCATTTAACATTTCAAAAACGAAAACATCATTGAAATTACCATGTATGAGGATAATTGCCTATATTTTAAACAGGTGTTTTTCTGTCCTAAAACAAGTTACCTTATTTTGAAAAGTGAAAGTAATAATTGATTGTTGTGTGGCCTATAAATTCGTTATTTATTGTGAATGGATGAAAGTTTGTAAACTAAGATTTAGGAAAAGTTACAGTCAAACTAAAAAGAAGTAAAATTCTAAAATGCAGTAAGAGTTGCTTTACAAACAAAACAAACGGATTTTAGCTGTAATTATCAGTATCCGGCAAGGAGAAGTGTTTATCCACTACAATAAACTCAAAATCATAAAAAAATTATTCCAAAATCGTATTAATGAGGCCTTTTTCAGTTTTTGTCAACTAGCAATCTCAATTGTTGGAAAAAGGTCTGAATCTTTCACATTCGGGTTCTTCCTGATTATGCATAATTGAAACTTTCTTGATGTGTAAATGTCAGCTTGGTATATAACAGAATTGTTATTTTTAGCCAAAACTTAATTTAATTGTGTAGTTTGAGCAGGAGAGCAATAGTTATTTTTGGTAAAAAATCAGTCACATCGTGCCATCAATTCCATGTCGTACCAAGAAGCCATCAATTCCATGTCGTACCAAGAGGCCATCAAGTCCATGTAGTACCAAGAGGCCATCAAACCCATGTAGTACCAAGAAAATCAAATCCATGTAGTACCAAGAGGCCATCAAACCCATGTAGTACCAAGAAGCCATCAATTCCATGTCGTACCAAGAAGCCATCAATTCCATGTAGTACCAAGAAGCCATCAATTCCATGTGTAGAAGCCACCAAATCCATGTAGTAAATTAAGAGGCCATCAAATCCATGTAGTACCAAGAAGCCATCAAATCCATGTAGTACCAAGAAGCCATCAAATCCATGTAGTACCAAGAAGCCATCAAACCATGTAGTACCAAGAAGCCATCAAATCCATGTAGTACCAAGAAGCCATCAAATCCATGTAGTACCAAGAAAATCCATGTAGTACCAAGAGGCCATCAAACCCATGTAGTACCAAGAAGCCATCAAATCCATGTAGTACCAAGAGGCCATCAAATCCATGTAGTCAAATCCATGTAGTACCAAGAGGCCATCAAATCCATGTAGTACCAAGAAGCCATCAAATCCATGTAGTACCAAGAGGCCATCAAATCCATGTAGTACCAAGAAGCCATCAAATCCATGTAGTACCAAGAAGCCATCAAATCCATGTCGTACCAAGAGGCCATCAAATCCATGTAGTACCAAGAAGCCATCAAATCCATGTAGTACCAAGAAGCCATCAAATCCATGTAGTACCATGTAACCAAGAGGCCATCAAATCCATGTAGTACCAAGAAGCCATCAAATCCATGTACCAAGAAGCCATCAGTTCCATGTCGTACATCAAATCCATGTAGTACCAAGAGGCCATCAAATCCATGTACCAAGAAGCCATCAAATCCATGTAGTACCAAGAAGCCATCAAATCCATGTAGTACCAAGAAGCCATCAAATCCATGTAGTACCAAGAAGTAAATCCAAGTAGTACCAAGAGGCCATCAAATCCATGTAGTACCAAGAAGCCATCAAATCCATGTAGTACCCATCAGTTCCATGTCAAAACCAAGAAGCCATCAAATCCATGTAGTACCAAGTAGCCATCAAATCCATGTAGTACCAAGAGGCCATCAAACCATGTAGTACCATCAAATCCATGAAGTACCAAGAGCCATCAAATCCATGTGTAGTAAGAAGCCATCAAATCCATGTAGTACCAAGAAGCCATCAAATCCATGTAGTACCAAGAAGCCATCAAATCCATGTCCATGTCGTACAAGAGGCCATCAAATCCATGTAGTACCAAGAAGCCATCATCCATGTAACCAAGAGGCCATCCCATGTAGTAGCCATCAAATCCATGTATGTAGTACCAAGAAGCCATCAAATCCATAGTACCAAGAAGCCATCAAATCCATGTAGTACCAAGAAGCCATCAAATCCATGTAGTACCAAGAAGCCATCAAATCCATGTAGTACCAAGAGGCCATCAAAAGAAGCCATGTAGTACCAAGAAGCCATCAAATCCATGTAGTACCAAGAGCCATCAAATCCATGTAGTACCAAGAAGCCATCAAATCCATGTCGTACCAAGATCAAATCCATCAAATCCATGTAGTACCAAGAAGCCATCAAATCCATGTAGTACCAAGAGGCCATCAGTTCCATGTCGTACCAAGAAGCCATCAAATCCATGTAGTACCAAGAGGCCATCAAATCCATGTAGTACCAAGAAGCCATCAAATCCATGTAGTACCAAGAGGCCATCAAATCCATGTAGTACCAAGAAGCCATCAATTCCATGTCGTACCAAGAAGCCATCAAATCCATGTAGTACCAAGAAGCATCAAATCATGTCGTACCCCATGTATCAAATCCATGTACCAAGTAAGCCAAGCCATCAAATCCATGTAGTACCAAGAAGCCATCAAATCCATGTAGTACCAAGAAGCCATCAAATCCATGTAGTACCAAGAAGCCATCAAACCCATGTAGTACCAAGAAGCCATCAAATCCATGTAGTACCAAGAGGCCATCAGTTCCATGTCGTACCAAGAAGCCATCAATTCCATGTCGTACCAAGAGGCCATCAAATCCATGTAGTACCAAGAAGCCATCAAATCCATGTAGTACCAAGAGGCCATCAAACCCATGTAGTACCAAGAAGCCATCAAATCCATGTCGTACCAAGAGGCCATCAAATCCATGTAGTAACGAGAGGCCATCAAATCCATGTAGTACCAAGAAGCCATCAAACCCATGTAGTACCAAGAAGCCATCAAATCCATGTAGTGCCAAGAGGCCATCAAATCCATGTAGTACCAAGAAGCCATCAAATCCATGTCGTACCAAGAGGCCATCAAATCCATGTAGTACCAAGAAGCCATCAAATCCATGTCGTACCAAGAGGCCATCAAATCCATGTAGTACCAAGAGGCCATCAAACCCATGTAGTACCAAGAAGCCATCAAACCCATGTAGTACCAAGAGGCCATCAAATCCATGTAGTACCAAGAAGCCATCAAATCCATGTAGTACCAAGAGGCCATCAAATCCATGTAGTACCAAGAAGCCATCAATTCCATGTAGTACCAAGAGGCCATCAAATCCATGTAGTACCAAGAAGCCATCAAATCCATGTAGTACCAAGAGGCCATCAAATCCATGTAGTACCAAGAAGCCATCAAATCCATGTCGTACCAAGAGGCCATCAAATCCATGTAGTACCAAGAAGCCAGATCATGTGAGGAGCACCCCATACTCAACAATGAACCCCTGCAAAACGGTACTTGCTGCAAGATACTCCGTTGTGCATATTCAATGTTTCTGATGCGCAAAATATGAGCTTAGCAATCAGTCATGAATAAATTGGCTTTCGTCCGAGCAGTGGACATTCCCTGTGACGTCAAATTCAGTGACGTAAATCTTGACAGCAAGCTAGTTTAGCTGCTTTGTGCTTTGGGAATAACAGCTGACGTCTGATATGTCGTCTTTCTCTACACCCGGTAAGCACTTTTGGACCGTTCTGTTGGCCATGTCCGTGAAAATCCGGTTAGAATTGATCTTCAGTAACCCATGCTTGTCGTATGAGGCGACTAACGGGATTAGGTGGCCAGGCTCATTTCGATAGCTCAGTCCATCATTTCGTATTCCAATAACTTGAGCAGTTGTCAGCTGACAAGGACCCTATTTGCTTAATATCAACAACGGAATCTATTGATTTTACAATAGAATCTATTGTTTTTTATTGAGATGTAGGAAGGGATAACTGAAACTCGATATTTGGTAAAAGACGGGTACACGTATTGCACGTGATGCCCTCTTTTGATTGTAGCACGCGCATAGAATTAGTGTATGGTGCGCCCAAAGGGTCAAAATAATCATACAAACAAAGTTTGTTACGAATATAAATGGCTATATGGGGGATAATAGGGGTTAAAAATCATAAGTGCTCCGTTACTTTTTTGCATGCGTATCGATGAATGCAGCAATGAGGGTTAAGGTGACCCTGGCTTCTTTTTCTTCGTCTTCTTCTTCTTTCTATCATTGTTGTTGTTGTTGCTGCTGCTGCTGCTGCCGCTGCGTTTGTTGTTATGCAGCTTGGTTTTCCCTCTACAAAACATATCGGACAGAAAACATTCCAATCTCATTAAAAGACTTTACTGATAACATTTAATAGCGTAAAACTACACACATGAGCATTAATTAAGCACCGCCTGGCATGCAATTGGCATGCATGCTGAAGAGATGCCGTGTCCACAGCCAACTTGAGTATTAACCACACGGTTATTAGTCGAGTCGAGTCGAGTCCTTATATGTCTGGCAAGACGCAGTTTCATGACCCATGTAGAAGAACTGAGCCGGCCATGGGGAATGGGAAACTGTCTCTCAACAAGTACCACCAGGAGGAGACTGCTGGCTGCTGGTACCAGACAACGTCGTCCATCAGTACCACCAGGAGGAGGCTGCTGGCTGCTGGCTTCTGGTACCAGACAACGTCGTCGATCTGTACCACCAGGAGGAGGCTGCTGGCTGCTGGTACCAGACAACGTCGTCCATCAGTACCACCAGGAGGAGGCTGCTGGCTGCTGGTACCAGACAACGTCGTCCATCTGTACCACCAGGAGGAGGCTGCTGGCTTCTGGTACCAGACAACGTCGTCCATCAGTACCACCAGGAGGACCAGGCAACGTCGTCCATCAGTACCACCAGGAGGAGGCTGCTAGCTGCTGGTACCAGACAACGTCGTCCATCTGTACCACCAGGAGGAGGCTGCTGGCTGCTGGCTGCTGGCTGCTGGTACCAGACAACGTCGTCCATCAGTACCACCAGGAGGAGGCTGCTGGCTGCTGGTACCAGACAACGTCGTCCATCTGTACCACCAGGAGGAGGCTGCTGGCTGCTGGTACCAGACAACGTCGTCCATCTGTACCACCAGGAGGAGGCTGCTGGCTTCTGGTACCAGACAACGTCGTCCATCAGTACCACCAGGAGGAGGCTGCTAGCTGCTGGTACCAGACAACGTCGTCCATCTGTACCACCAGGAGGAGGCTGCTGGCTGCTGGCTGCTGGTACCAGACAACGTCGTCCATCTGTACCACCAGGAGGAGGCTGCTGGCTGCTGGTACCAGACAACGTCGTTCATCAGTACCACCAGGAGGAGGCTGCTGGCTGCTGGCTGCTGGTACCAGACAACGTCGTTCATCAGTACCACCAGGAGGAGGCTGCTGGCTGCTGGCTGCTGGTACCAGACAACGTCGTCCATCTGTACCACCAGGAGGAGGCTGCTGGCTGCTTGTACCAGACAACGTCGTCCATCTGTACCACAAGGAGGAGGCTGCTGGCTGCTGGTACCAGACAACGTCGTCCATCTGTACCACCAGGAGGAGGCTGCTGGCTGCTGGCTGCTGGTACCAGACAACGTCGTCCATCTGTACCACCAGGAGGAGGCTGCTGGATGCTGGCTGCTGGCTGCTGGTACCAGACAACGTCGTCCATCTGTACCACAAGGAGGAGGCTGCTGGCTGCTGGTACTAGACAACGTCGTCCATCTGTACCACCAAGAGGAGGCTGCTGGCTGCTGGTACCAGACAACGTCGTCCA